TCTGTTGTCTGTTCCAGAGTCTCGACTGAAAACTAAAGGGGACAGAGCGTTTGCTGTCAGGGTCCCGAGGCTCTGGAACAGCCTGCCCGAGGAAATCAGGTCGGCTGAGTCAGTGAACTCTTTTAAGTCCCTTCTTAAAACATACTTTTATAGGAGAGCCTTTCCCGATCTTATTTGACTTTATTTTATCCCTTTTATTTTATTGTATTTTACTAATTTCATCTTAATCGGTATTTTAGTCTTTTCAAAGTTTTCATGCTCTTATCTTGTTTTTTTGTATTATTCTTTACACTTGTTAAAGCACTTTGTAACTTGTTTTGAAAAGTGACAAATAAGGATTATTATTATTATTATTATTATTATCCACATGACCGATACCTTTCTCATTCACTGTTGCAGTTTGGCTCTTTTTTATTAATTGGCAAACCAGACAAGAAAATGGAATTATAATGAGATATGGATGAATGGTGAGAAGCTGTGATAGAGAAATTTTTTTGATAAGTATTGATAAGTTGTAAGATATTTTTAATCATTGAACGTGTAGTGATAAATTTTCATGGGTGGTTAGTTCAAACATGTTGAAATGTTCAATCTATTTGATGAAAGGGTGTGTGTACAGTGTGGACTCTGAGGATACAGAGACAAAAACATAAAGCAGCGTCATGGTTTTGTGGGCTTCATTTCAGAGGGACGGATGTTCATAGAGGAGAGGAGTTTGATTCTCTGGACTTTACCTGTGAACCAGCAGCAGAGGAGAGTCCAGATGAGGACGCAGATCAAAGTCATGTTTTTGATGAGGAGGATTTCTGTGGCTTCTGTTGTCATGAAGGACAGCTGTCAGTCATCCAGTGTTCAACTCTCAGGACTATAAACTCTCCCAGAGCACTGGAGCATGGTGCTGCTGATGCAAAGTGGCTCTCTATGGAAATGCTCTGACTGACTTCAACAGGGACTTGTATGTGAAATATAGTCATCATATACATAACAAACCAACTTATACCAGTACAAATGATCTTTTTAGTACCATTGTTACTGCTCTGTATAAAAATTTGTAAGATGACTGCTTCTGTTTTTTCTAATGGAGTTATTGCATATTCCAATTCTAATGCTGTGTCAGTACCAGAACAGGTAACAGGTAGAGGTTACAAAGAACTGTCAGTCACCTGCTGTGCTGTGTGAATTTTAATGCTTCATTTGCAACACTTCATTTGCTGTCAGTGAACCCAAACTGGATGTTAACTGTAAGTAAATTTGACTCTTTTAATAACCAAAGTTAATTTTATTTCATAACTGTAGACATTGCTGTATTTTAGCTGTTGCAATGATTCTTGAATGCGCTACATTATGTCCTCCAACAGATTAAAATCTTCTTCAGTTAACCAGTTTTGTATCACAAGAATTAAATTTCAGCAGTTTCAAGATATCATGTTTTCGGTCTGACAAAAAAAGTATTTTTCATATGTTTTAATTGATCTATGTGAAGATTATTGTAAAATGTATTCTTTCAACCTTACATGTGTCATTTGCTTATTAAAAGTTCAGTGTACAATATTTAGGAGGATCTTTTGACAGAAATGCAATATAATATCCATAACTATGTTTTCAGTAGTGTATAAAGACCTTACATGATGAACCGTTATGTTTTTATCACCTTAGAATGAGCCATTTCTATCTATCTACACCGAGGGTACTCTTACATGGAAGTCGCCATGTTTTTACAGTAGCCCAAACAGAGAAACTGCTCTACAGACTGTGTTTCGTCACTACATTGAATACATCTGAAAAACAAGCAGAAGAAGAACAACAACAAGTAACGTTAGTAGTAGTAGTAGTAATTTTAGCAGTAGTAGTCTTATGGTTTATTAGAAGAGAAGTGAAATTTTGACAAATGGAGGACCACACATATTATTTAACCCAAGAGCCGACCTAACGTGTTGGCCACCGTAGCTTCTCCTGCGTGCTTGGAAAAGAAGGGCTGAGCGGTGACTGATGGTGCATTCATGTGGTGTTGAAATAATTGGATTTATTTTCCTTTTCCTTTATTGCAAAAGAAGAATAAAGTGTAAATGGGAGATAAAAAAGTATAGAAAACAGTGTACAAATATAAGAAGACACAAATAATAACAATTTTGCCAGGGGTAGTCTGTATCATATATACATATTAAAAGAGGACCATGTGTTGAAAGTTTTCACAGCCTTTTTATTGTTGGATTTAGAAATTAAATTGCTCTGATAATGCTAATCTAACACATCTTTGTAGTAGCGTCCATGTTGATTCCACATTCTGACATAAAAGCGCATGAACACACCAGAAGTCGGAAGAACGACTTCACAACTTGGGAAATGGGACCATCCGAGGAGCACGTGAATGCACAGTGAGCCGTTGGTTGCAAACCGCCACCCTCACCACGAGATGCTACTAAAACTTATACACTGAACCTTTAAACATGAATGCATCACAGGAACAAAATGTCATTTTAACTTCTTTAAATTTGTAGTGAAACCTGTTTGTTGCCATGGTTCAGCAGTGATGCCTGCCTTATGCCAAGGTTACTGAACTCAGCAGATGATAAAAGAAACACTTCTTTTACATATGTCTCAAAATCTGGCAATCTTTAACTCTTATTTGTAATTTATTGAATATTTACTGCGTGTTGTTATGCTTTTTATTGTTGATCAATAAAGCAGAGACTAAAAAGTTTTACACAAATTCATGAAAACTTCACATCTGCTCTCTCTCTCTCTCTCTGGTTCTGTCTTTTTCCCTTTACACGTTTTAACATTAAGTGTTCTTGCCTGTTGTATTATTAGTGGTTTTAATAGTTCAACACAATAAAAAATCTCATCAAATACTGCTTTCCTTGTGGATTATATTTATATTTTTTATTAAGATTGACATGTCATGGTTTTCTTTTTTTTGCATCTAATAATAGGACCAGTCATTTGAATAAGGTATGAAGACACAATAATAGCAAGACTGTCTTTCTTTAATGTCACTTGTTCATACTTTAATTACTGGGGTACCACTAACTATAAAGCATGTTAATATAAAACCGCCATTTATCTCGTATCACAGGAGATTCCTCTTAATGAAGATTTATATGTTTTTAGACCTAATTTGTAGCCAGAAATGATGGTAAGTTTTATTTCTCTGAATAAATATAAGAATGTCAGGAATCTTATTTTTAGCAACAGAAATACAGAGCAGGAAATAATCAGCATAAAGTGATACAACATGACTGTGAGATTTTAACCCCAGGAATGTTTTAAATAACAGGCCCAATGAAAGTGATGACAACTGTGTATGTAGAAAAAAATAAAGACCTATTCATCTCATCAGTGGTGTCCAATTACAGGAATAACTACTGTCTTTGTTTTTAATAATCACATTCCATTAGAGACCGGGTTTACCACAGGGTCAGATAACTAGTATTTTAAAAGATCAGGTGATAATAAAAAAAGGCATTAAGGGCCATGTACAGAACACATCTGATAGTTTTGTCAGTACAACCAGACAGTGTTTATCTGTTATCCTAAAGCAGGTAGGAGGTGGTGTGAAAGGAAGCCATTTTAACAGAAGCAGTAAGTCTGTGCTACATGTCCTTTACATCTGCCCTCTCTGTCCTGCTCTGCCATCTTTGGTTATGACGGGTTCTGGTGCTGATCTGTGTTCATATTTTATTTTAACTGGAAATAGCTGAAAAAGCTGTGATCCAGTGAGAGGCTGAGGTCAAAGGTGACGACCAATACCTTTCTCATTAACTGTCCCAGTTTGGCTCTTTTTTATTAATTGGCAAACCAGACAAGACAATGGGATTATAATGAGATATGGATGAATGGTGAGAAGCTGTGATGGAGAAATTTATTTGATTTGCACTAAGATATTTTTAACTTGTAGTGATACAAGTTCATAGGTGGTTAGTTCAAACATGTTGAAATGTTCAATCTACTTGATGAAAGTTTGTGTGTACAGTGTGTGTGTGTGTGTGTGTGTGTGTCCTCAGTGAAGTGTATCAGTCTCTGCAGTAGCTCCAGCTGAAGCAGTCAGTTCAGTTTCTGTTCAGTCTGACTGAGGGAGGTTTTTGTACGACGCTTTTTCACTGTGTGAACAACCACTGACTGTTGATGTTATGTTCACTCAGACAGTAGTAAACTGCTGCATCTTCAGTCTGGACTCCACTGATGGTCAGAGTGAAGTCAGAGTTTGATCCACTGCCTGTAAAACGACCTGGAATCCCTGATTCTCGAGTGCTAGCAGTGTAAATGAGCTGTTTAGGAGTTTCTCCATCTCTCTGTTGGTACCAGTGTAACCAGTTAGAACCATAAACATCCTGACTGGTCGTACATCTGATGGAGACGGAGCCTCCCAGAGCAGAGCTCACTGCTCCAGGCTGAGTCACTGTGACCTGGCCTCTGGACTCTGAGGATACAGAGACAAAAACATAAAGCAGCGTCATGGTTTTGTGGGCTTCATTTCAGAGGGACGGATGTTCATAGAGGAGAGGAGTTTGATTCTCTGGACTTTACCTGTGATGCAGCAGCAGAGGAGAGTCCAGATGAGGACGCAGATCAAAGTCATGTTTTTGATGAGGAGGATTTCTGTGGCTTCTGTTGTCATGATGGACAGCTGTCAGTCATCCAGTGTTCAACTCTCAGGACTATAAACTCTCCCAGAGCACTGGAGCATGGTGCTGCTGATGCAAAGTGGCTCTCTATGGAAATGCTCTGACTGACTCCAGCAGGGACTTGGATTACTCTGATGATGAAGTTTATCAATGGATCAATCAATTTATCAGAGTATTCATCTGAAATGGTTTAAAATCTTTTTTACATGATTTTGGTTTCATGCTACAAGATATATTTTGTTTCAAAATATCTTCTGCCTAAATTGCCAAAGAACAAATATAGAAATTGAATTTAACATTAATATATCTAACTAACTAAAGTCAGAGAGCCGTGTCTCTCTACAGTGAGAGGTTTTTGTACGGCGGCTCAATGAGTTTGTATCACTGTGGGAAACGTTCGGTGGAGGAACCAGACTGGATGTTGGAAGTAAGTCAAACATTTAACAAACTTTTAAGTTGTTGTTTTTTTCTTTTATATTCAGCATGCCAAAAAACCTTTTGAATTTCCATATTAATGTATAATGTTTAATCGAATATTTTGCACTAGGAAACAAAGTTCCCTTCACCAAAATAACCCTCAACTCATTGCAATGAATATATTATATTAGCAAAAGGGAAAATGATTTCCATCTTTAATGGTTAAGTTGTATCTTGAGAGGTTGTAGCTTTAGTTCTGCCTGAAAAAGTCTACAGTGAGGGTTTTTTGTAGTGAGGCTCAATGTGTTTTTTTCACTGTGGTTGACTTTTATTGATATTTTAAATTCAGCTTTTGAATGTTTGATGGAGATAAATATATTTAGTTTGTTTCAGTGATTGGGTTTTATTTCTCCTCATTTACCAGCAACTTTACTACACATTTCTTTACACATTACTCACACTGAAATTCAAACAACTTGAAGTGGAGAACAGATAAATAATAACAATAATAACTTTAATTATGATTAAATACAACCCCGCGACCCTGTACGCAGGATAAGCGGTTGATGATGGATGGATGATTAAATACAATTCACTTTCTCCACGCAATGATTGAAATCTGGATAAAAAACATTTGATTATTGTCAATTAGTTTGATATATTTCAAGTCATTCTGTATGATGATTCTCTCTGTGCTGATTTGCATGAGAGGCTTCTTAAAGGGAAGTGAAACAATGTGTGAGTGAGTGACTGGTGGAGCAGAAAAACCATCTGACAGAAACTCCTTAAAGGAGAAAATCAGCTCTCACACAGTAAAGGTGTCCTCTAAGCTGATTGGTGTCTCCTAGGTGATGTCCGTCCCACCCTGACGGTGCTGCCCCCCTCCAGTGAGGAGCTGCAGCAGGGGAAGGCCACGCTCATGTGCCTGGCCAACAAGGGCTTCCCCTCAGACTGGAGTCTGGCCTGGAAGGTGGACGGCAGCAGCAGCAGCAGCAGCTGGGAGGAGAGCAGGAGCCCCGGGGTGCTGGAGAAGGACGGCCGCTACAGCTGGAGCAGCACCCTGAGGCTCCCTGCAGACCAGTGGAGGAAGGTGGGCTCTGTGACCTGTGAGGCCACCCAGGGCTCCCAGGCTCTGGTCTCAGAGACACTGAGGAGAGACCAGTGTTCCCAGTCCTGACCTGACTCACTGGGACTCTGCTACTGGTTTTACTCTGCTCTCTGAACTCTGTAACTCTCTCTGTGTCTGCGTCTCTTTATTTCACTCAGTCAATCTCTAATCACATGTTTCATGAATAAAGTGATGTAATTTTGATTATTTCTACATAATAAAGACCAGTTCATCAAATTATTTGTTTTCATTTCTGTTATTTTGAAAGTAACAGTTGGTAGAGGTTGTGACCCATGAACAAGGCATGAACAGTTTCAGTATCAGCACTGAGATTCTAAAACATATACACACATATACACACACTCACGTACACATACATATGCAGCTCAGGAAAAAAATAATAGACCACTCAATATTTGTCTATTCATCTTAAATCAGCATGTTGTTATGACCTGGCTCAGAAGGCCACAACAAAAGGGAGACACACCATGGTAAACGGTTAACAACATATGTTTATTTAACAAAAATAAACCATATTAAGAGGTATTTCGAACTAACATAATTAAAGTATGAGGTATGTAGTGTGTGCGTTCCAGTTACCACAATCAGCTCTTCCTTCCAGTGTTCCTTGTTGCTGTGATGACAGTCGTTAAGACTACCTGTGGCCAAGACTGAACGACCATCGTTGGTATCTTCACCTGAGGCCAATAGGTTACGTTTGTTGAGTTTCCTGGGAAGTGATGAAAGGACAGCATTGTAAGTGGGAGATAAGTGGTGGCGTAGACCCCCTCCCCTGTTCAATGACGAGAAGCCGTCATTGAACAGGGGAGGAACACTAACGAACCAGCGGTATCGATGACCCGGGCCAACAAACCCACTGAGGTTAAATAGCTGAGTTTCCCTGCCAGTCAGTCAGAACTGAAGAAGTCCTTTGGATGAGGGACGAAACGTCTTCCAGTATCTCCAACCAAGTCCAGTTGCCCTTGATTTTAACCTTCGTTGGGCATACACTCTTACGCGAGCAGCCAAGGTAGAGTGAGAGTCAGAGTGCTTCTCTGGCTCAGCTTGTAACCCACTGATGGCCGCTGATCAGCTCCAGCTGCGGGATTTACGCAGGGCAGGCTCAGGGCAAAGACACCCACAGCAACACAAGCGCAACCCACAGACCTCACGGGTCGTAACAACAACATTTTATATTTGAAATAATATTTTGAGAGTTGAGGGAGTTTTGTTTGGACCCTTTTTTACCATGAAGGTGTCTGATGCTGATCTGTCTTCATATTTCCTTTTAACTGGATATAGTTGAAACAGCTGATAAATATAACTGTGTGGAACTGTTTTAAAACAGACAGAATGAGATAAAGGTCAAAGGTCATGGCCAAGCACAAGGAACAATGGTGACATTTTCAGTCCACTTAATGAAATTTTGTATGTGTTGTGTGTGTGTGTGTCCTCAGTGAAGTGTATCAGTCTCTGCAGTAGCTTCCAGCTGCAGCAGTCAGTTCAGTTTCTGTTCAGTCTGACTGAGGGAGGTTTTTGTACGACGGTTTTTCACTGTGTGAACACATGCTGACTGTTGATATAGTGTTGACTCTGACAGTAGTAAACTGCTGCATCTTCAGTCTGGACTCCACTGATGGTCAGAGTGAAGTCAGGGTTTGATCCACTGCCTGTAAAACGACCTGGAATCCCTGATGCTCGAGTGCTAGCATAGTAAATGAGGAGTTTAGGAGTTTCTCCATCTCTCTGTTGGTACCAGGATAGGTCGTCTCCTTTATCTACCCTATGACTGGTGTGGTGTATAACATATGTGCATTTGACGCATAACAGTTTAACATAGCACTGTAGCAGCTGGATAGAGGATTAGTGACCTTTTAAGGGGAGAGCAGAGGTCAGTGGTTATGTGGAGACTAAATCTGATGGAGACAGAGCGTCCCAGAGAACACTGCTCTGCTTAACTTTAAACTGCGGGAGACGCATTACATGTAATACTTATTTTGTCCTCTTGGGGGGCTCTGGTCTCATGAGAGGAGACTGAGATAACTTTGATTATTTCGTTAAAACAATCATTTGCTCAGGAGCTGGGAAATTAATTTTTCACACATGATAATATTTCTGTTACATGTTCTTTAACAAGAAAATATAAAAAAGATGGTGAAGCATGGCATTTATGGAACATCCAAAGTGTCAGCCACTAAGTCAGGTCGAGCAGCCGATGACTGATACTATCTTCAGTGTGGATATGCTGTCCCTGGAACAGTGTTATGATTGGTAGAAAGTTTAGAAGGAGTTATGCTGCGTTCGAGACCGGTCAGAACTGGGATATTTCCCAGTTGAAACTTCCGACTTCCTACATCAAAGCGTTCCAGGTGCATGGTGGTGCATGAACGGAAACCATGGCTAACTGTGACAACGTGTACACACAGTTGCACCCTCAGCAGTGTTTTAGGTGTTAATTAAAAGGATGGCAGTTTAACTGCAACAACTTAATATAACATAAATAGCCTATAGTTACTAGTTAAAGGTTCAGTGTGTAATATTTCTGAGGATCTATTGACAGAATTGCAATATAATATCCATAACTATGTTTTCAGTGGTGTATAAAGACCTTGCATAATGAACCCTTGTGTTTTATTACCTTAGAATGAGCTATTTATATCTACATACACCGCGGCACCCCCTGCTGTGGGGTCATATTGTGTCATCATGTTTCTACCGTAGCCGATGTTGAGAGTCAGATGTACGACCAGGCTGGGCCAGTTAAGCCTGGTCCCGACCTTCACCAACTTAACTTAACTTTGTCAAAAAATACTCCATTAGCTTTCTATGATAGTCAATAACTCTGCAGACAAAAAACTTCTCAGGAGACGGTCAAGAGTTGGTGCAAAAAGAGTTTATTCCAAAACAGGACACATAAACCTGGACAGCATCCCAGCAGGCTGGAAGATGATGTCCCCTCTATGGTCTGAGGAGAGCCTTATATACCCCTTTTGGGCTGGTGTGCCCCCCTTCTTTCTTTATGCTGAGTTTCTTATCTTCTGTTTTCATGCTGTTCACACATATTGTTTTACCACTTTTACCGGTTTTCCAGCTTTCATTCATCCTTCCGTGTTGTTGACTTTCTATTTTGTTATCTTACAGGATAAGAAACTCATCATTTACATTGAAACTCAGATGTCACCCTTTTTCAGCAGTATGAGTATATAATTCCATACAGTTATATTTCTTGAAAAATTACTACAGGAATAACAAGTGTTATGCTGTGCCTATCATCGATGCTCGGTTTCTTACAGTAATCTTGTTGTTATAGTAACTTTTTACTACTTTTCTTGTCACCATCTATGCATCCTTTCTCTGCCTTAGAAACTCACCCACTCAAGCTGAGTCAGCTAGTGCTTCGTAAGCAGGTTCACTAAGCGCCCACGGGCAAGTTCACTTGAAGTTCACACAGGCTCTAGCATCAGTGGTTACAAGTAGACAATCAACCCTTTTAAGCAGTAATTAAACATGTAGTCTTAATATCAGTAGAATGACACCTCGGCAGTTCATTATTTTATAACATCAGTGGATATCAGTAGACCCAAGCATGCACTTGTTACAGCAGATTTTGAACTCCTGCAGCCTCCCATGCTGTCATAAATCCACAGTAGATAAAAGTTGACCAAGTGTCTACGGTCCATTCTCCCACTCAGGGATCTTCACTTTGTTACTGCATTCATGATTACAGCACAGCACTTCTAAGTAGAAAATAAGACACGTTTCGGTAATGTTCAAAGATTAAGAAGTAAGTTAGGATAATTAATAAGCTAATAATGATTAATAAACTAACTACTAATGATTAATGATTAATGCTAATTAAGGATAATACAATGATTAAAAATAATGCAATAAGAAAGATTACTTACTGATACTGATTAAAGATAATAAAATGATTGATTAAAAATGATGAATTAAGAGTGATTAATGATTACTACTCAAAAATGATGACGTGCCCTCTCCTGATCATGTTATTTTCACCAAAAAACCTCAATTTGTGGAATAAGCTGGTGTCTTTTGTGCTGTGTCCTAAAGACATTCCTACTGTGATGGACCATGTTTATGTATATTTTGTAACCCAATTTTCACTAATTCTGCTTCTACATTTGAACTTTTGTGGTGTTTCTGATGATGTCTTGCTGTGCTCATTCACTCTGCTCCCAGAGCACACGGGCCTGCTTACACACACACACGTGCTACTGTTACTGCCTCCAGGCAGTTAGACAGAGAGGACCACGCACACTCAGAGCTATAAAGTTTCAGCGTTGTAATCTAAATTCTACACAATAAAATAACACTCTAACTGGTGACAAGAGCTAAAGAGTTTTAACACTGTGATCCTCACTTTTACACTCTAAAATAATACTTTAAATGATGAACACTGCACTTAATGAAATGATGGCAATACAATTAATGACAACAATTTAGGCTGTAATGTTCTAAATAATTTGTGACCCATCACAGACAGCGAACAAACAGCACTACAGAGCAGGTTTCGTCACTACCTTGAAAGAGAAGCAACAGAAGAAGTAGTAGCAGGAGCAGGAGCAGCAGCAGAAGAAGAAGAAGAAGAAGAAGAAGGAGTTGTACGTTTCTAACTACTAGGTAGTAGTAGAAGCTCTCCTTTATTAGAGGTGGAATTTTGGACAAATGGAGGACCACAGCTATTATTAAACATTAAACATCGGTGTGGCTTTTCCCAGATGGAAGGGTCTAATGAGGGAAAAATGTTTTCAAAGCGACGCCGAAGGTCGGCGGTTCAATCCCTGGCTCCCCCTGGTTGTGTGTGTCCTTGGGCAAGATACTGAACCCGAATTGCCCCTGGCTATTCCGCCAGTGTATGAGTGAGTGTGAATGTTAGTTTCCGTTTGAGCACTTAGGCTCAGTGTATGAATGTGTATGACTGGTGAATGCAGATGTAGTGCAAAAGCGCTTTGAGTGGTCGAAAAGACTAGAAAGGCGCTATACAAGTACAGAGCATTTGCATTTAATGTTAGCATTAGCCAGAAGCTAGCCATAGACACCGTGAGAAGTGACTTTCCCTTGTCAGTGGTGTAAAATATGTAGTTGGATAGTTTCATGTGGTTCTTCTCCCTCGCTGTGTTATGGCTTCGCTATGTGGGATAAATGTGCTGGTTACGTTCGTGAGACAATCAGCTGATTAGTATAATTGACCGCAAAAAAGTAACGTTAGCCTACAG